GTTAGGGTGCCTTTAAGATAGTCTCATGTATAGTTAAGTTAGTTCAACTTAAGAATATATATATAGAGAGAGCTAGAAGATCCAACATTGAGGAGCTTAAGATCTTGAGTTAAAATCATGTAGAAAGTTTCTTCTCCTTCCTCTTCTTTTCTCTTTGGAGCAGCTACAAGTAAGGGGAAGTTGTGTGTTTGGAACAAGTGTCGATGCATGCTAATTGTTGTTGTTGTTTAATCATTTAGAATGTAGTTGATATTAATTAATTAAATTCATGTGATGGGTAGAAAAGAGGTTGAAGTTCTTGAAGTTAGGAGTGAAGAGAATTGAATGATTTTTGGTTGAGAAAGTATGCATGTTGTAATTGATGATGAAATTGTAACGATCCACATAGTCCATGTACTAGACGACATATCTACTAGTAGTGAAATGATTATTAACTTAGGGTTGTATACCTATATATACGAGAATATGTACTATATATCCTACACATAAAGGTAAAACAACTATATAAATATACATAATATAAGTATAGTATTCTAGTAAAATTAAATTATACAACCTAAATTGTCAATCAAGTAACTTTTATACATAGTACTACACAACATTAGCACCAAAAAAACTTCACTCCACCATCCGTTAGACGATCTCTACTGCACAATACCTCAACCTATTTCTATTATGTTTCCATATCAAGTATGACCATCATAATTTAAAACACATAAAAATATGTAAGAGTAAGTTAAAATTTAAAATATTAATATATATAATAAGATTTTATAACACAACTCATATTTTTCAACATCAACATTTCAACACATTCGATCCTATCAATTTTACAACTACATTTATGGGTCAAAAGTAATCCTTATCACTAAAAATAATAAATATCTTTGAGACCATGCATAACTAAAAATTTCATTTTGTTACAGACTTAAATTTATTCTTTGTCAACAATCATTAGCTTTGGAAGAAAATATCTTTAAGGCTATCACTTCAATGTCTAACAAGAAAAAAATCTGAATTCAATGATCAATGACAAGCTCCTCAGTCCTCATTTTGCACCCTTATCTTAATTCTCCCCACTTTACCAGAAGAATTTTCCCCCTCATCATGGAACGAGTGGTGACAAAAAAACAGAAAAATATAGAACATGACAAATCTATGTGTAAATTGTCCAGTTCAAAAATATTGACGCAGACATCAACGATCGGTCATGGAATTTAAAACATGATGCTGCCTTGCTGACAAGTCACTTTCGGTGGGCTGTCATATATTTTTTTATAATATATTTGAGTCCTATTTTTCTTATTTTAAGACACATCTTTTTAACCTTTTTTTATTTATTTATAAAATTAACATTCATATTCGTTCATTAATTACTTAATTATTCAATTTTCTGTGAAATGAATTAATATTGAAATGAATTCATTAGATTTTTTATGTTTTGAATCCTGTGAGTAATTTGTTCCTTGTATTTTTAATTAATTCATCACGTGTTTGTAAAGTATAAGTTTAAGTTAATTAGTGTATTTCTTCTTTACTTTTTTATTGATAGAAAAATTGAAATTTATATGAATTAACTTTATCATGGTACAATTTACCATAAGAAATACAAATTCAATTTATGTTTTTTCCATGATCATTTCCAAAGGATAGTAATTTCCACGTTCAACTAGATTATAGGGATATATTATGTACCTACAAGAAAAGATTATAGGGTTATTTTCGCACTGATGTAAAAAATTGAGGAACAATAAACAACATATACGATATATAAATTTATTGTTATATCTATCATCACCCCTTACCTATCATTTTACTCTTCTGAGATCAAATAGAAAGAAAGGAGTTATATTTTATTTTATAAAAAAAAAAATTAAAAAGTTTCACAATAAAACCTTCCACGCTCCTGAATTTGAGAAGAGATGTAATAAAAAAAATTGATTGGGACCAACAAAAAGAACAAATAACATGAAAATAAACAAAAAGAACAAATAACATGAAAATAATTAAAATGCTAAAACTATTTTACATAGATTTATAGATAAAGTAATCGTAAATGTAATTATTATTTTTAAAAATAGATAAAAATATATTTTTAATCTCTAAATTTTTATTTTTAGCTTCCAAATCTTTTATTTGGTTTTAACTTTGACTTTTTAACATGAATAAAAAAATTTGTGGCTAGAGACCAAAGTATTAACCAGAGAAAAAAAATCATAAATTCAAAGAGAAAATTAAAAAAAATAATAAGACCTAAAATTAGAAAGAAAAAAAACAGCAAACAACTAATAACAAAATTTGATAAAAGTTCATTAATCCTTTAAAAAAAATAGTTAACCCATATATATATATATATATATATAATGCAAATTATTATAAATTATTTTTTTGAAATTTTTCTTTGACGAAAGAACTTTTAATTTTTTTTAATATCATGCCTAATTTAATTTTTATTTATTATAATTATTTATGAATTAAATTATAATTTTTTAAACTAAATTATTAATAAATAAAAACAATCTCAATAAAATTATTTATTGTTAATCTAAAAAGAATTTATATATTTAAAAATATTTATTTATTCAAAAAATTTAATATAATTGATATTTAAAAATATAATATTTATTGATGTACTTAATTATGCTAAATTTTAGTTATATATAATAAATATTAATTAACATTCGTGTTCATGAATCATGATATAACGTTTAACCAAGCGGCCTTCATTCACGTTTCCAAACAAAATATCTTCTATACCAAAAAAAAATCTGAATACAATGACCACTGAGAGCTCCTCAGTCATCAACATAATAATTCCCAAACTTGATTCTGTTCAGCTATTGGAAAGAAAATATTCTCTTAATGGAATGAGTGGTCACAACAAAAAGATGTGAAAGACAACAAAATTTTGGTGAAGTGAAGCATTTCCTGCTTAAAAATGATGCAGACATCAGCGGCAAATACTGGTTAAAAGACTTGATGTTGGCCCAACCACTGGGCAATTATTACCAGCTTGCTTCAAGTCATCAAATATTATCGATACAACTTTCTTTTTTTTCGATTTTCATAATTGTCCCAAAGTTGTTAATAATAATAACAGACGGTTGATAATAAAAGTGGCTTCACATTCATGTCTGCTTTAGTTTTTATTTAAAAATAAAATTATAATTGAAGATATTATTTTACTTATAAGCAAATTGAATGAGAATTAGATATCCTTCTAATTATGTATAATATCTATATATAAAACGATTTGTTATTTTTGTGTACATAATTTTTAACTGTTTTACTCTTAAATTTTTAAATAATAAAAAATAATATTAAAAATTAATTATTCTTACAAAATTAAGATTTAAATCTTAAGCTTTAAAATTTAAAGATTAAGTAATTAACAATAATGTATTCAACTTGTTATTTTCTTAAGAACTTGAAGTTTATATACTTTTTTTTTCTTTCTTTTCAAATGATCTCAAGAAGAAAATCATTAGGGTTAGTCTAGTGATTAGATGAGGAAAGATTGTGATAATTAGAAACATGGAAACTTAAGTTCAATTCTCATTATGATTATCTTTGTAATATTTTTTATTTTTATATATATATATATATATAAGGAAGATGGTATGCTCAAGTTATGACTACAAGTACAACTCCTACGCAAAAACCCGGCGCCTCCTTGCCAATGGATACGTAGATATGTTATGTGGGAGGGTGTAATCTTTACAAAAGCATGGATTGTTATATGTTCGTTTTTTGGCTGATGATAAACACACCTCCACTCTCGTATAAATACATCCTCTTTTTAAAAAAAATATATATATAATGTCTAAATTACCCTTTTAAAAAAAAAATCTTAAATTTACACCTCCCTTCCCCGCACCCCCCTTCCCCACACCCCACACTCCATACCCCTCTTCTTCCCAAAGCCTCTTTCCGCTCAATGTTATTAAGTAATATACTTTTACAGTCATTCTGAATAGAAAAAAGGACTAGCCCCACCATAACCAGCATAAAAAAGGCTCTTTTACAATCATTAGTATTCCGAAAAGTACTTTTACAGTCATTAGCATTCCGGAAAGTACTTTCCGGAATAGTAAAATTATTGTTCATATAATTCCGGAAAGAACTTTCCGGAATAGTAAGAGAAAGACTCTTACTATTGTTCTATAGAAAGAAACACTAGTACAAAAATGACTTTTAAAATCGGGGTTTTAAAATCAGTCATAAGAGGTAGCCATTTTAAAAGTGACGCGGTGACCTGTACTGCAACAGAACGGCCCCAGACCGGGCCGTACTGCTTTCAGAACGAGACGTTCTGAAAGCAGAACGGGCCGTTCTTCTTGCAGAACGGCCCGTTCTGGTGCCGTTCCAGACTAAAGTTTACATGCAGATACAGGATAAGGGGGTGCGGGGAATGGAGGTGTAAATTTATGAATTTCATTTTTTTAAAGGGTAATTTAGACATTTTATATATATTTTTTTTAAAAAAGAGTGTGTTTATACGAGAGTGGAGGTGTGTTTATCATCTGCCTCGTTTTGTTTTTTGTTGAATGGTACTTCACGAGAGAAGGCCCAATAGCAAAGAGTCTATGGGCAAGAAACAAAAGCCTAGCAAAAGTTGTGCCCAAACACCCACTAACCCACTTCACATCAAAAGATAAAGAAAAACAAAGGCATGTTTAGGGAGAATGTATTAATTAAAGGATTTAGAAAACAAAGATGGTCTTCTGCTTCCTCTTTCTTTTTCATGTTTGTTAATCCAATAGAACAACAACATAAAAAAAGGAATGTTTTACGGTACTTATGCAATAACTATTTTCCTTGTATATAAAGAGACACTCCCCATATATTCTAAAAAGAAAAAAAAAAGAAAAAAAAAGGTGTAGTGGGTATTTTTTTTATTTTTTTTCTGATTGAAATTGAGATCAATGCCACTGGACTTACAATATAACTCATACGCCTTATTCAAACCAGAGAACAAAACCCTTTTGAATTGCATAGAGAGAAGAGAAATGAATGACTGAATTCATTTGAATGACAAAGAATTTCAGGTTACATAAAGAATGAATAAAACAATGAGCAGAAATTGAAGCGAAATGTATGAAATATAGCTAAAAAAAAGAAAGAAATCTTATCTGCAACAAAGAATGAAAGAATAATAATAATAGTAATAGTATTTCCCTATGAAGGTGGTTGAGAAAAAGAGGAAGAGGTACCCGCCGCAAGCGCAACATGAACATGAACCGGCACCCAAGCGGAAACAGTGTACAAAGGTTGGTCCAACCAAGAAAGCGTAAGCCCAGTAGCTCCCTCCTTCTCCTGCTTGGTCACACGGTAACTCTGGCACGCGTACATCTTCACCAGAAACTCGCTCTGACTCATCTCCCTATCCGAAACCCCCACGCATCTCAACCCTCCCTGCTCCACCATCATCCTCCTCCATTTGTCGAACCCCTCGTGCCTCTCCAACCTCTCCCTCCCCTCACACGCCACTATGTTCCGTATCTCCTTCCCGTACATCTCCTCTACCTTCGCCCTCACCGCACTCTCCTCTCCAACCCCACTCTCCTCGATGCAATCGAACACCGCCGAGTAGTATTTCAACGAGTTGCAAACCCTAGCCTCCAACCTCGCCTCGTTGTGCTCCGCCTCTTGCTCCGCCATCACAACCACGCTAGGGTTTGTGCTGCGAATCAGCCCCAGGAAGTCCCGCAATGCTCCTCCGCTCCCGTCGTAGAGCGTCTTGTGCAGCTGCAAAACGCAGTTCACCGCCACCGTTTCGTTCTCCTTCACGTGCAGCATCCACAGCCTCACGTCCTCCAGTCTGTCCACCACTGGGTGAAACTCGAAGGGCAGGTTTAACGCTTCCGCGAAACCCGACAGTCTGTCTCCGGTCTCGTTCAGTTCCTGCTTTGACTCGCCTATCCCCGTGATTCTCACGTGACTCGGAGGGTTTGTCCTCGAAGCTAGGCTCTGGAACAGGCTAGGCCATTGGAGACCTTGCTTGATGTCGAAGTCTATTATGTGAACCCTGTCTTTCCCTTCGAAAGCCCTCAGCAGCATCTCGTTCGATGTGAAGTGAAGAAACTTGGGAATGGGCGTCACCTGGTTCAGAAGCCTCAATGCGGTGCCGTTTTCCTCTTCATCCACCATGTCCCGAGAAGTGGTGCTGATGTGAAAAACATGAGGCCAAACCCTTGTCACTCGAATGGCTAATGCTTCTGTGAAGTAAGCGCATATGCGGCTTATGGAGCTTCCCTTTGGAGAAGCTAAATCACCCAGTTTTCCTATGAAGTGGTTGATTGCGCTCACGTTTCTCGACACTATTGCATCCACGCAGCCGGTTAACAAGCTTACAAGCTCGAACCCGTGATGATCCTCCTCCTCCCCTGTCTCCACCACCTCCTGGTGCTGATGGTAAGGATTCCCTGAACCGTTTCCCACTTCATGTTCTGATACGTTGTCGTTTACTCTCAGGCTCAGCCCTTGGCTCTCTGAAGAAGCGTTGGAGACTGAACCTTCTCTTGGATGATGATGATGAGGAGGTGGAGGAGGATGCTGGCTACCCTCACCGAAATTTGTTATCTTGGTCACACATGATTCCAGCCAAGGGTTTAAAGGCAAAGGGGAAGAATGAGACACCACTTCAGAAGGAACAAAACAGACTCTCTCTTCTTCCGAAGAGAAAGGTAGTGAAGTGTTAAGCCCTCCTAAAGTAGTGGCGTTACTCTCCAAGCCTGGCTGAAACCAAAAGTTGTCACCACACTCGGTGGTGGTGCTACCCTTTTTGATCCTCTTGGATATGTGGAAGGACTCTTCATGCTCCGCGAGCCTTTTCAAACTCTTGTCCTTGATTGACTCTCTCTCTGCCCCCAGGGGTGTTGGTGCTGCTGTGGTTGCCAAGGGTGGGAGTCGAATGTTGTGCTTGAGGGAACAGGTGCTGGTCTTGGATTCTAGTGGCTTCTCCACGGAGAGCCCCACTGGCCTCAGGGGCTGAGAACGTGAAGAGGTGTCTTTGCGAGGGAAGGTGGTGGTGCATGGTAAATCCAATCGCTGCGTGTTCATCTGGAAGTGGCAGGCTTGAAACTGTGCTGATGCTTCGCTCCTCAATCTGTGCCTCGGTGACAACAATGTCGAACTAGAACACCCAGCCAACATCGTCTATGCTTTTTGTGGCGCCGGTTGCTTCACTCACCCCAGTGCTGCTACCTGCTTCTTTTTCCCTTCCCTTTCTCTCTATCTAGTAATAACTTTATTAACTGTTCAACAAAATCTATCCTTTTCCTCTAAAACTCAATTTGCATGCAGTTGACAATCTATGTGAGTGTGTGACAACTTAGTTTCTAAGGGGTTCTTTTATGTCCAGCAAAAAAAAGGAATCCGATGAATTTAACAAACGGAGAAAATGAATGTTTGGTTTGGTTTTATCTTTACAAATTCAAAGTGTTGATCCTATATGAATCGAATCTGTAAATGGAAAATAATTGTAATGTAATGACAAAAGAATGTGAATTAAGTTATATGCAGGAAAGAATGAAAGAATTGGAGAGACTAATGAAAAGGCCTGCCTAGCTAGCACATAAAAACGATCATCGGATTCCGGAAGAGTTTAACCGAGGGACATTTGAAAGAGTGCTATGGTCTTAAGTTTAGGAAGGGATGAGAAACAGAAACATACACCTTGGAATTTGTGGCAGAAGAAGTCCTGAGAAATAGTGAAAGCCATATTAGCAGTGGAAACGTTGAACAAGTCCGTCATTGCAGGGGGTGAAGCAAAAGCCAGAAACCCCACCTCTGAATGCTTGAACTCAATCAGGTACAAGACTATCAAGTTACTACAAACCCCCCCACCCCCCCTCTCACTTACCCAAAAGATAACACAAACCTTTACCAGTGCTTTATATAACACAACTACTACGGTCTCCCCTTACCACCATGTTGCTGTATTGTATGCGCTTCTTCTTTCTTCTTCTTCTTCTACTTCTACTTGTTCACCACTCCGTCAGCACTAGCGCTGTCTCCATCACCGTAGATAGTAGTAGTTCCCCTCTCCTCTTCTGGGCCTACGAGTGGTTTGATTTACCAGCATGGGAGGAAGAGAAAGGAATAAGATGATGACAACATGCTCGACAAAGGGGAGGGAAGCACTTTGGTCCTGCACCGTCTGATTAAGATCAAACGGCTCAGAGGTGAGGTGCTATATGACCGTTGAAGGATGTCGGTGAAATATGACCGTTGGGAAGGGGAGTTGGTGTACGGATAATTCATGACACTCAGACTTTTCACGTGCCACGTCGCACGTACTGTCCCCTCATATCCGTTCACTTGACCGTTACTTTTACATTCTATAATGATAGTACTACTTATATAATCTTTTCTTATTTTTGTTAGACAAATTCTCTTATCTTGCTTTTCTTTTCTTTTTTTCGAAGGATCGTAGTTATCAACTAAATAAGAGTAAACTACCAACTTTATTCTTTAAAATTATTTTTTCTATGTTGTTCTTAAACTAAAAAAGAATTACTTGAATATTATTCAGAGAAAAAAAAGGTCAATCACAATGTATAATGACTAATGAGATACGATATTGTTTTCTTATAATAATTTGTTGGTGCTTTCATAACTATTAAATTTTATTATTAAAATTATTAAAAAATTATGATAAGTAATTTCTTAGCATTGAAAATCTTTTAAATTAATCTTCAATTTTTTATACATGCTATTAAATATCTTGAAAATTACTTAAATATTCTTAGGCTTAAATATATTTTTTATCTTTGAAAAATGTGTAAGCTTATTATTTCTAGAAAATAAAAATTTTCTGTTTTTTCTTCTAAAACATAAAACTATTATTTATGTTAAATAAACTAATATATGTACAAATTATTTAATAAAAAATTCATGAAACACATAAATATAAAAATACTCACACTTGAACCTGCTTATTATAATTTTAATGACAATATATTAACATCTCTAAGTATTTTATAAATCTTTAAAATAAATATTATTTATTTAAAATAATTATTAAGATTAAAAATATTAATTTTAGAAGGTTTAAATATATTTTAGTTAAGATGGATGATTTTGATTTTGGTCTCTGTAAATTTTTTTATTTTATTTTTCATCCTTGTAAAATTTATAAAGATTATTTCATACTTGTAAATTTTGAAATGAATTTATAAATTTCAGAAAAATATAAAATAAAGAGAAAAATTACTGGAACCAAAATTAAAATTCATCAATTTTACTATAACTAAAAATATATGTAAACGATGTTTTATTATGGCTTAAATATGTTTTTAGTCCCTCAAATTTAAGATAAATTTGTTTTTGGTCCCTCAAATTTAAAACTGTTATTTTTGGTCCCTGTAATTTTCAAAAATCTTGTTTTAGTCTCTTAGGTTACCAATAACATATTTGAAAGTGACTAATTAAAACAGTTATGCAATATCAATCAGATTTAATGTGATATTTTCACTAATAGAAATACCAATAAGTAGATTTTATGCAATAATATTTGATAAATTTTTTAATAAAATTTGAATATAAGGACTAAAATAAAAATTTTTAAAATTATATGGACTAAAAACAATAATTTTAATTTTGAAGGACCAAAAATAGATTTATCCTAAATTTGAGGGACTAAATATTTTGAAGACGGAAATGGTAATCTTTTTCATTAAATAAATACAAATTTTCATTTTTAAAGTACAATTTACAGAGTATATTTTATGGCCATCATCATGTCTCGTGGGACACGTAGCGCACGAGTCGAGATGGTCTTCAGATTGGATTCTCCACCTCCTCACGACGACTTGACTGCTCTAGTTGTTTTGGTCAATTTGGTGTTTAGAAAGTGAGAAGAATAATTACTTTTATTTATGTTACTTATATAGATATATAAAATTACTTGGTTGAGAAATAAATATATAAATTTCAATATTTTTAAAATTATCAGTAATCCAAAATATCTTTGTATTATAATGTTTTTTCTTTGTATTTATAGTAATGACTAGTAGGTTAGTGAAATTTGAAAAATATACAATAGATATTGCTTTGAATTTAAAATCCAAAATTGTTGGTGTTATATTAATGAATATTAGTATTTTTCTTAGAAAAATTCTAGATCCTCCGAATTCATCCTCCGAAATTTATTCCGAAACTTTAAAATATTAATTTAAATTATAAAATATTAAATTAAATAATTATTTTATAATAAATGTATTAAAAAGTATGAATATTTAAAAATTTCGGAGGATGTTTCAGTTACTTTTTCGGGATGAATAGCAACTCTCTTTTTCTTATACTATGTAACATGACAAATAACACAATAACTGAAATGCCTACATATATGTGTACATAAATATAATTACACATATAAAATCATCTCACTCAATAAATTTATATTAAATTTTAATGATTTAATTGTTAAATTAGAAATTTTTAATAAATAAGTTAAATTTATAATCTTTTAATAAAATTAAACAACTATTTAGTATATAATTACATTAATTTAAATTAACATATTTAATTTGAAAAAGAAAAAAAAAATATATATATATATAATGAACTGTTGAAATATTGTATAATTTTTAAATTTTACAAAAATTTATTAACTTAATCTATTAATTAAAAACTTTTAATTTAATAATTAAATTTTTTAAATATAATTTAAACATTAAATTATTAATTCTTAAAGCAAATAAATCTCTTTATATCTATATATATATATGATCAAATGTCAATACATAAAAAGTAATGATATAACTAAAAAGATATCAACAACTAACACTAATAGTCTAATTCCAACAAATAATACAATAGGAACAACAAGTAAATCTTATTTTTAATTCATATATAAATCAATTTTAACTTATTAAAAAAGTTTATTTTCATTTTCTTTCATATTTTTCTCTTCTAAAAATATTTTTTTGAAGAAAAAAAACTTATCTAAAGATGTCCATCGACTTAAAAGAAAAATCTTTCGTCAACCGAAGAAAGGAAAACTTGATTACTTGAAAGAAAAAAGGCAACAGTCATAAACGGCTAATAGATCTGGTCCATACAATTGGACATATCTAAGGTAGGGAGTCAACATACTGATCCATTCAAGGACGGAGCCAAGGGGGGACCTACGGGTGCCACGGCCCCCCCAACAATTTTAATTTTTTTTTATATACATATATATTACTATATGGCACCCCCTATTTTTAATATAAACTCATATGTATAATTAAATGAATAACCCAAATTTATTTTTTTATTCAACTTTTGGACTTCTGGTACGGCCTGCTATGTGGTATCACTTTGGATTTTTTTTTTTTTTAAAAAAATGTAGCGCCTCATTTGATCATTCCAATTCTCGGCCCCCCAGTATTGAAATCCTGGCTCCGTCCCTGGATCCATTATCTTATTTTAAAAAGAAAAAACCATCACGATGAAGAATAAATTAAAAGTTTAAAATTAACTAAATAATTAATATACTAACATATCACTTATATATATATATATAAGAT